GCCGAAGCTGATAACAGGCGCTCCTGACCGTCGCATTAACCTGATTTAACTTCATTGTCTCAAGCATTTTGAATAGCATCATTTAAATCTAGATAACCTTAATAGGTTAACTGCAGTAGCAGAACATGATTTAAAAATGTGGATGTATTAAAACAGGGGAAATGGGTCTAGACTGTGTAAGGCTTTCTTCTTGCAGGCAACCCCCACCTGCCACTAAACATTTGGGCAGATTCAGAATGATGATAAGTAATAAAGGGTGTATCCACACTGATTTAAAAATCCAGATATTGTTCCTGTTCTTTCTGGATTTATTTTAGAGACCATATATGTTCGTTATCTCAGAATATTTTCTGTCCTGATTGTCTGCTCCTGATACAGCTCCCTAGGTTGGTTTGTTGGGACTTTTTAGTCTGGATGCAAGCCCCCAAAATAACAACATTTTTTAAAAGCAGGACATGATGGCTTTAATCTAGAATGAAAAAAAATCTGTCTGGACAACAAAAATATTTTACTAATTAAGGCCAGAATCCAATCAAAACCTTTTGCCAGCATAATTCTGGGTTATGCTGGTATTGTATTTTTACATCCTCGTGTAAGGAGGTATCCAATACCCCTTCCACAAAGAGTTTCCAAGTTCCTTGTAGTGCCATATGCCATCTTTTCTTGCAGTCCAGCATGTAATCCTAGCTCCAATTAGTCCATGACATGGACTAGCCAAGGGAATGGCCCAGAATGGCCACCAGAAAGTCATCCAGTCCATTGCTGTTATGGAAGTACACCAGTGCAGCTTTGGGCTCTACTAGTGTTGACCTAGACCTCAGCCTAAAAGTTTGGAAAATGGGAGATATGCTGAGATAAACAAATATTTAATAATCAAACAAGGAAAAGGAGAAAGATAAGTGGTTAGTCGTTTTGTTTAATTTGTGTACCATTATAACACATCCCAAGGCAATTTACAGCTCCACATATTATTAGAAATCATATAATAAAACATCTAACATAACAACATCATATGAGATGGTACAGCATATTGTAACAACTTTAGAAATCACATATAAGAAATCATTATTATTGTTATGCCCTAGATCAGGGGTAGGCAACCTTTCCCCTTTAAGGGCCGAGGGACTTCAGCTCCCAGAAGCCTCAACCATGTTGGCCAATAGTCCCATGTTGGCTAATAGCTCCTGGGATTCTGGGAGCTGAAGTTCCTTGGCCCTTAAAGGGGAAAGGTTGCCTACTCATGCCCTAGATATTTGTGATATTCCATTCTATTTGATTTTTTCTCCCAAATCTGTCCTTGATTAGTAAATACAATCATATTATCAGAATAAGACACCCTTCCTAGATATTCACACAGTTAGGACAATTCATGATTGGGATGGTATTTGAATGGCATATGGCATGCCCTACTAATTAGGATTTTTTTTAAAAAAAATCACATCAGTGGAGGCTGGAAGCTCCTGTGATGATAAACACACCAGGGTTTTAGTCCAAGCTTTAAAGGAACTATTCAAAGTACTGAATGTGGTTAAGGGATAGGTTTCAGCACTGTAGATAGTTCCTTATTGGGATTAAAATTTGGAAGTCTGTGTGGGGAAAATGGCAGTTTAACATGTCTGTTTCATGCTCTGGGGCAGACAAAGCTAGGCAATGGAATAACTGGCTAATTAGCCATTAATTAGCTGACAGAATTTTCTTTGGACAAGGAAAATAGCTTAGGGATTGCCTAAAAGAGCTCAGGATTGCTGTTCCTTGAGAGATTGTCACTGAATTGAAGGCAGCCAGAAGCGAGTTTTGAGCAATGAGGAGTCATTGGAGGAACATCAAACTTTGGCTGCCCAGCGAGCTTCAAAGGACACTAGATCTGCAAAATCTTCACTTTTAAATGCTTAATTTGTAAATGAAGATAATTCTTCCAACTGGCAATGAACATAAAAAGCTCTAGTCAGTACTCTTCTTTCTGTAGCAACTAAAACTCACCAAACTGACTTTGCAGCCATTCACCTCTACTGCATCACATTTTCCTGGAAAATAAGTCCAATTGTAATCCAAGGAAGCATGCTTAGAATCTAGTTGAACAATTAAGATCTCAGCATATTGCCTTGGGCAATTAACAGTTCTGTCTTAAAGCTGATGCTATGAGGGATAGCTTGTCTTCTTTTACATTTTTCAGATAGAAACTGCATGGAGACCTTAAACCAACTGAAGTTTGTATCATTGATTGGGATAACATACTGGCCCAGTTCTTATGAAAGCATGAATACATTTTAAGGAAAGGAGATTATTTTTAGAATAAAAAAGGTAATTTATTTCATTATTTTTTAAGGGAAAGAAGTCAGCGGCAACATCATGTTTACTGTTGAAACATAGCTTTCAGCAGTATCCATGTGAAATTTAATACATGTTACAGAAGCTAAAACTATCATACTGGTGCTACTTACAATGGCAGTCATGTTTCTATCAGAGTGGAATTTTAGTCATGAAATGATTTCAACAATAAAATACCTTAATTTCTTCAGAACAATGAAACAAGAATTTGTCAAGAAAAAATTAATTATGTTGAAATTTCATGATGAAGATTGTAAAAGTAGGTTAACTTTCTGGAGGCAACATTAGTTATTTGGATATTTTAGTCTAGGTTGAAATTTCAAGTGAATGATTCACAAATAATGTAGTTTTAAGTCAACTGTACCTGATAGGGTTAAATAAAAACTGAGGATAGCACTGGCTTCGTCTGAAAGTCAAATAATACACTAGATTTATCTTTCAATTTATATTCCATCTTTCCAAAAAGATGCCAAGTGCCTAACAGTGCTAAAAACCACAAAAATATAATCCATATAAGTAAAATTACAGTAAACAAATCACTCAACATGCAAAGCTCTAGCTCCAACTCAAAAAATGGCTTGAGCACCTTTAGCAGTTTTGTAAGGTGTACAACTACACAAGGGTTAGAAGCCCCTAACAATAATTCCAAGCACCTTGATCTTCATTTGAATCCTTCTTAAAAGAAGTGATGTCATCTCTGTCTTGCCATTTTGAGAAGGATTCAGATGAAAATAGAGGAGTATTATGAGGAGCTTTCTATGCAGGTCTAAATGTGTTTTTGCGTGTTTTGGTGTCTCTTTGTGCAGTTTTTGGACAAAAAAAAAAATCCCCACTGGAATATATGGATTTTTTAAAAAAGTTTATTGACTGGGAGAGCTTTGGAGAACTGGTGGGCTTCAAAAGTAATGAAAAGTACTCCAGCCTAGCACTAATTTATTATGAAAACTAGCTACAGAACTCATGGCTCAGATGAGTTTTAATCATAGAATCATAGAATAATAGAATCATAGAGTTGGAAGAGACCACAAGGGCCATCCAGTCCAACCCCCTGTCATGCAGGAACTCCCAATCA